GCCCCCTCTCCCAACATCAGATGGCTGTGTGATGTCCTCAGACTGGATGTGGCAGTTAATGAGCTGCCACCAGCTACCCCCCACATCTTCATGAATCTTGTCATGAGTCATTTCCTGAATTTTGTGGGTTCTCTTAAACTCCCAACCCTAGTGGATGTTTTACTAGACAGGCAAAGGGTGGGACAGGGTGACACCTTAGAGACTAAGTGGTTTAGAGAAGCATGAGCTTTCATAGGCAACTGCCTACTTTGTCACGAGCATGTGACAGAGTAGGTTGTTGTTCCTGAAGCTCTCATGCAGATGGTTGGGTGGGGTGGCACAAGCTTTTATAGGCATCTGGTGCACTTTTAGTGCCTACAAAATTTACTATTTCTCTGAACCAGTTGGTCACAAAGGTGCCCCTTTGCCTTGCCCTCTGCTTGGATTCAGAATAACATGGCTAACTGCCTCTGTAAATGCTACCAGAAATCAATAAGCTGGAAAGGTTTACTGGATACCTAAAATCCAAAACAGTCCAGCACTTTTCTGGAACCTGCTCCAGATAGAAGCCAACCTCTCCCTAGCAATAACACAAATGAGAAGATACAGAGAGTTGTAGCAGGATCCTGGCTCTGATGAGGAATGCTGTTAAGCTTAAAAACTGTACTTAACAGCTCTCCTTGTTGTAAAGGAGAGACTGTTCTCTCTTCAAACAACACAGGGTCTCCTGTGCTATTACAGAGGTGTATGGGTGGGAAGGAATTAATTGCTGTTATGGTGCTGCTGAGGAGGGAAATGTTTGTATTCCTTCAACTAGCCTTTCTTGAGTCTCCTTTTCCTCCCTGAATATCTACAATCAGTGTTGGCTTCTGCTATTTGTAGCTTTGCCAAGAGTGGACAAAACAAAATAACTTGTGTTGTTACTGCCTACAGGGTTATAAATGGAAATGTTTTGCTGCAAGCTGAGATGGCTCTGAACAGTTATAGGTGTACTGCAAACTAGTTGAACCATACTACATCAATTTGTACTTTGCAGTCAATGGCTAGACAGTGTAGAAACCAGGGACATTGATCTACACTTGCACAAGCACGTGGGGCTGGTTAGGTGGCCATAAATAACCAGGCAGCAGGTGGCAGTGACCAGGTATGGTAACCATATGCTGTTTACAATGCATCTTATTTTAAAGCAGTTCAGTCCTAATATGCAACTACACTTGAGACGTACAGGTGAGGAAAGGTGGGACATTTTGGAGTATAAGAAATAGAGGCAATCTCCAGTTCAGTAGTTTGACCTTCATTTGCATTTAAACATACAAGGCCTGAAACTTTACTTGCATATAGCAGGGGTTTTCAACCTTTTTTTGGTTGGTATACCCACAGCAGCCAGTCAAGAAGCAGGGAGTCCCCTGGCTGGGGGTGGGGCGGGAAATCCCCTGCAATAAAACTAGAAATGCCCCTGCTTCTCTGTGCTATTGCTGTGTACCCCCTGGGGCCTTCCCAGCAGGGGTATGTGTATGCCTGGTTGACAAACCCTGACCTATAGTAATTTTATGCAAGTTTGTTTAGTTGTATTTTTTTGAAGTGCTGATTTAGACATTACAGAGATGCTTCAGATCTTCCAGTGCCTTAAAATTTTATTAACTTTTTAAACTTAATATATAGCCAGTAGACTGTAAACACTTGAGACTTGCCCAAGTACAAATGCTAGTTTCCATATATGTTGCCTTCATACAGCTGCTTCTTTAAATAAGATTAAAGCAGATTTTTAAAAGTCTTTTTGGATGCTTATGCCCTGTAAGATCCTTTGAATACAATATTGTTCCATAACAATATGTATTGCCTGGGCCTGAAAAAGTTTCCTAACCCCTCCCACCCCCCATGTGGAGTTAAGTGTGTGTGTGTGGTAAAAAAAAAAAAACTATGGATCACCTGTAGGCTAGGGACAGACATTACACACAAACCTGTATAAGTGATCAGAAACCAGTTCAGATCTGTAACACAACAGAAGTTTAGTACATGTAAACCAGTTTCAAAATGGCCAGAACCGACTGAAGATAAACCTGGATGGATGTAGTATCATACTTGACTGATTTAGGTTACATCGGTTTCTAGAACTTCTGTACCAGATCCTCTCTGGATTCAAGTTAACTCACAGTCCTCCAGGATAATTTGCACCTTACCTGTAACCCCATTCCTCCCTTGCAGGATGGGTGAGCTAGCCTTGGCCCAAGCTCCAGCCAAGCAGGGAGGTGTACTCTAGCACCTCCTGGCTTATGGCCTAAGCCACTGCAGGCTTGTTGCATTTCCGGAATCAAAAGTAAATGTCTCTTCACTTGCTTATCAGTTCAGTCTACACAGCTCAGATCAACATGTGAAGACTGAATCAATTCAGCCTCAGATTTTTTGACTGTCTGTACTTGGCCCTTGTGTTAATATCAACCCAACACACCTTGTAAATGGTGACAAGAAGTGTAGGTGGTGCTTGCTTATTTTTTGAAAATCTTTTCTAGGTAAGTCCTTTGGAGGATGGTGCCATTTGCTTTCCCTTGGACTAGACAGTGTTTTGTAGTGAATTCAGTTTTGGCTAGTAATCTGACTAGTTCTTATGGAACAGTTATACTTGTACAACTGTCTAGTGTGGATAAAATTGTGATTAATGTTAGGTGGGTGACTAATTTTTGTTCCCATGAGGGAACAAACTGTTCTGTTTGTTAAATACCTTATACCACTAACTCTACATAAGGGGATGTTGTACTGGTTTTACTATACATGTATAGAGCATAATCTTTCCTAGGGTTTTCACGCCAACTGCAGATGCTTCCTCAACCTGGTGAAGGGTATTTATAGCCAAAAGCTTGCAAAGAAGAATGTTTCCAACTATTTGAGTGGTCTAATAAAAGATATAACATCTGCCCAAAGAACCTTGTCTGCCTAGACCAACACAGCTGCAACATACTGTTAAGAGCATAAACCAATTACTTTACTCTTGTTGCTGTACTTCCATCTCACCTGCTTCTAGTTGTGGCAAGTTGTAGAGTGGTGTGCTTTAATTTGTGGCTGAGAGTACACTGGTGACTTGAAGATTTGGAAATGTTCTTCTGTGAATGAAGGGACTCAATGGCCCAGGAGTCTCTTCCCAAGGAAAGCAAATCAGAACTCTTCTTGTAGGGTACATGAACCCTTAGGTTTTCTTCCACTTCATTATTTGAAGAAGTCCTTAAAGTGTTTTCTGGGTACAGTTCCAAGCTTATGAACTGAACAATAAACATTGAATCCCCTAGAAAGCAAAATTCCCCAGCAACTTGTTGGTTACTGTATGCATAGTGACCTGGTAGAAGTTGCATGGGACCATTGAGGTCCCTGGAGTCTTCAGCTGCCTGTTCTATGAAACTTCTGTTTTGAGTTGGAGTACTAATATGATGGCTACATAGAGGTAGTTATCTTTTGTTAGTCTGAAATTGGGCAGAAGGCAGGGTATCACTTTAGAGACTTCACTGGTTTAGAGGAACATAAGCTGTCTGAGCACCAGCTAACTTTGTCAAGTGTTGATATGATATGATGGTTGTAAACAGTCTCCTTCAAATAAAAAGAATGGGGAAGATTGAATAGACTATTGTAAGATTAAGAAAAAGATAAATACCTTCATGGTTAGTCAGACTTGCCGAGGATCG